TATGTATGTACATAACTGTAATATCGTTACTACTGTACATATGTTTATACATAATCGAAATATTTGTTGCGAGATTATTTTTTTAGTATTTAGTAGTATTTTYTAACAAGTTTAGAATTGCGAAATATGTTTTTCCTTATGGCAACCCTAACGTTAAGTTAAAATTCACATTTAAATTAAACTCACAGTGTTTTCGCATCCAGTTTATGTAGTTAAAAATAAAATTTGTAATAAACAGAAATACATGATACATAATGTACTAGCAATATAAGCGCCTGTTAATAAAACTGAAGCGAAAAGTATATCTAAACAAARCAAAAAAGAAGAATTATTCGTAACGAGCACTCACAAATGAACCAAAGAGAAAACAAAAAATCAAAAACTAAAGAAAATTAAACAAAAAMCTACAATACAATAACAACACTAAGAGTCCGAGGATTAGAGCAGAACTGCATAACCGCGAACTTGGCTCACACAACATTTTCTACAACAATAAAAAAACAGACCAGCCAAGTACAAAAACTTCAAAAAGTTTTTAATTATATTTTGGCAAATTAGTTTCCGTCTGAAAATTGCTGAAAATTACATTAACAAACACAAAAGCAAAGAATCATACTGTAATTAACAGACACAAACACAGGCTGCCAAATACGTCCAGTAATTCAAACACACACACACACACACGTCTTTGTAAATGTCCAAAAGCGTAAAGTAAAATCAATAATAAATAACCGTTAATCAAATGTAATTATAAAATTGCAAATTCAACTACAAAAAATTACTCACACCCAGTCACCGGCGTCACCGACGTGTGTGTATGTGCATATATGTAAGTGTGTATATTGCATGCATGAACACCTCCACCTCCACCACCACCAARCCATTGAGCCGACGCTGCTCAATACTGAAACTTATTTATTTATTGTCAATATGAAAATGCAATGCCAAATAGAAATCCCAACAAATTACACAAGTAATCTAATAACTAAATATATGTATGTATTGTCCTGCAATTACAATAACCAAAAACAAAAAACAAAAACAAAAAACTAAAAGAACTGTAAACATAATTTCGTGTTACGAAAACAAAATATGCATATGTATGGCAACTCTTTGTAACGGTACTGTCGAATATTCAACCAGAACACACACCGAAATTATATACTTAATTAMATACATATATACGAAAATTGTATGCATTATGGAAAAACAACAACAACAATAATAATGAGAAAACACAAATCACAAAAACCAAAATCGAAAACGAAACAGAAACAGAAACCGAAAGCTAAAAGTGAAAAGAATGCATTTTTCAAAAACGTGGGCGCACCCGTCAAAGCAGCAACAAAAGAAATTAATAAAAAATTAAATGTTTAAAACAAAATTGCATCCAAATGACTTTTTATTTACTACACTCTCTTACTTGTATATGTGGCAACTAGCGGCAGCTGTAAGTATCCATCCAAGCAGATCATCCAGCGGTTAAATCACCAGTTAGCTACCCAGGAGCACCACMAAAGATTTCTCTTAAAGTTTCTATTAGTTATTTAAGCGCCAATTGGCAATTCTAGCTGAAACTCTGGTGAACGTATTCATCGTGCAGGATGCACATTTCTTTCGCTAAGAACATGTGAGTGGTAATTTACGCGCTAATTCTTTCAATGCATTAGAGTTTTGGTAGCCATGACCGGCTTTTGACTAATAAAATGGTAAAACTCGTGCTTGAAGTACTGTAAGTATTCGCGGCATCCCAGAGTTTTTAAAAAAGATAGGCGAACCTTGGCGATCGCGGGAAAATCCTACCCGATTTTCTTCCTGCTTTGAAGAGAGGATGGTCATTGATCATTTSAAAAGAAAGACATGACGAGAAAAATTGGACTAAAACCATAACCWTCTGAAGCTTTTAAAAACATATTGCCTAATAATTGTACTGGAAACGTTAGTCGCAATCTTGGGAATAGAACTTAGGGCAATATTAGCACCTAACTGGTAATGGTAACATTTTTCTATCACTATTCTATTATTTCTCTCGAAAACTCATATCGCCGACTCATCAGATGYTGTCATCATCCATGCCTCTGCACCAYATAGCAGGACGGGAATAATGACTGACTTATASAATTTGGTTTTTGTTCGTCAAGAGAGGACTYTACTTCTCAATTGCTTACTCAGTCCGAAGTAGCACCWGTTTGCAAGAGYAATTCTGCATTGGATTTCAAGGCTGATATAGTTGTTGATGTTGAGGCTGGTTCCAAGATAGACGAAATTATCTACGACTTCAAAGTTATGATTGTCATAACTGCCCCGAAGTCAAGTCGATAGGGAGATATTCGTCTTGCCCTCGTTCTCTGGCAGATGCATTTGCTTCGGCATTTAGGACGAAAATAAACCTGAAGAGCTTCAAGGGCGAGCATTGAGGCCTCAAGAGAGGCGGTAGAAACATTGGTCCATTTATCTTCAAAAATKATGCGGGTGAGAACGTAGCTGTCAATGGGACATAGTACTATGTTAACAGACTATCTGATACCTAAAATTGAAGCTCGTGATCTCGGCGGCATTTGGTTTCAACAAAACGGTGCCACTTCCCACGCAGCACATCAATCACTAGATTTATTGAGGGAACACTTCGGTGAGCAGATAATTTCACGTAGTAGTGTTTATTTTTTCAAAAAGTTATGGAACCTCGATTGGATCACCCTTTATTAGTAAAGCAACGAATATTAAATGGCCAACACTGTCGATGCTATCCATTAATCGGATTTCATATTATAATAATATTTAAATGCTGTTCATTGCATTTAACTGAATTTTCATTATTTAATCTTATTACTTATGCATGTGGCTCTGCTTATATTTATCATTCACAAGCGAACACATGTTTATTCGCCGAAATGCTGCCTAAAAGCTTTTGGTAATTTTCATTTTGGACATTGCAARTTAATGGATTCCATTTTATTATCAAATGCATATCTGTCATATACAATAAATCTGTTTGTAATACACGCGTGTGTGAGTGTATGAGTGCACATTTAAATTGGCGCAAATAATATTTAAATCTGAATAATTTGTAATCACACACGCTGTCCTGTGCGTTTACATCATAATTTCGGTGTTAGAGAAATATTTTTATTCTTGACGCAGGAGARATTTGATAACACTATGCGAAAAAATCGAAATTTACTTCTCTCTGCAAGTTATAAGAGGTCAAAGTGGTATATTCGAATATTCGAAAAAAAGTACTGGTCCGACTTTGAATGCTTCTAATACCAATTGCCGATGGTTCCATATGATTAATATGCGTTCGAGTATTGCATGACGTATTATGTATTTTCAGGGTTCTAGACATGAGATAAACAAAACGCTGCAATGCCATTAAAGAAATCCTTGCATAATTTTCTTAAACGATTACTTAATCAATTACAAACGGAACATCTTGTTACGACATTTTATTAAAGGCTTTAAGATTTCTAAAGGCATTTCGTGCGAAGTGTTAGTCAATCTTTGAACCAAATGCTGAAAAATCCACAACAATTGTGTTTGTCAGAATTACACAAAATATTTACTACAACAACACATGCATACATACAAATGTGAATATTCAGTTGCAGCAAAACCGCAATAACAGAAACACACACATAAAACTCATGTGCAGCAAAGTCCTGCCACGTCTGCCAATCTCGGCCAGTTGGCATTTATGTGCACTCARCCACAAATACATACATCTATAACCTGGCGTGCTTTCACATGCATACAAACATACGCAGAGAGTTTTTTGGGCGCGCAACCGAATTGCGAATGCTGCCTTTATCATAAGCGGTGGCAATTTCTGCGAATGGCAGGTGCAACCGGCCACTAAAACCTCACAAATAACAAAGCGCCCAGCCTAAATGCCTGATCCACACACACGAAATTGCGCATAATCAATGGCATCACGCATGAATCACAGCAACTGGAGCTCTTTCTCGCAGCTGATGCGAATATTGGCCGAAGTTTGATCGCTCGCCACTCGCCGCTCACTGCACGCCGGCACGCCGATAGCCGACAGCGAAATGCCACCTGCCGCCGTGATAGCCAAACTTCATGCTTGATACATATAGACTTATATACAGACATGTAGGGATTTTCGAATAATTTTGTTTGGATTTTCGTTTATCATGTCTTCTTTTTTTCGTGTGTTCG